ATCCTCTCAATCCTCTCAAGTTCATTCATTTCTTTTGCAATTGGGCAGCATTGTGCTTTATTGGTGAATTTGTACTTCGCAATTGGTCCGGGTCATAACAGTTATGCCCTTCGGACTGATGAACGCGCCAGCCACATTTCAGTGCCTCATGGACAAGGTACTCCGCCATCAGCTTAACAAGTTTGTGGTTGTGTACCTTGACGACATTCTGATTTTCAGCAAGTCCATGGATGAGCACGTCAAGCATCTTGAGGAGGTTTTGCAAGTCCTCAAAGAAGCTCAACTGCACCTCAACTTAGAAAAATCTGAGTTTGGCAGGGACAGTGTCATCTATCTTGGGCACCGGTTGTCTGCAAACGGCCTTGAGCCGGAGGCAACCAAGGTTGAGGTCATTCAAAACTAGCCTCAACCGGCGAACGTACGCGAACTGCGTTCTTTTCTCGGTTTGGCTTCTTATTACCGGAAGTTTGTACCCAGATTTTCTATTATTGCTCACCCACTTTGAAGACTAACCAGCAAGAATGTTGCCTATGCATGGTGTGAGAAGTGTGAGTCTGCGTTCCAAGCCTTGAAAGAGGCCTTGGTGAGTCATCCTGTGCTCCGCATTGCGGCTCCCAACCTCACGTTCGTAGTCACTACGGACGCGAGTCAGTTTGGGATTGGTGCAGTGCTGCAACAAGACGATGGCGATGGCCTGCGTCCGCTTGAATATTACAGCAAGCGCATGCCCAGTCACAAGGTAGCTAATTCCACATATATGCGTGAGCTTTACGCCCTACGCGAAGCCCTCGCACATTGGAAGCACTACCTCTTGGGTCGCCACTTCAAGGTCTACTCTGATCATCAGACCTTGCAGTGGATTCAAACACAATCTGAGCTCTCTCCTACATTGACCCACTGGTTGCATGACATTGATGTCTATAGTTTTGAGTTGAAACATAAGAAAGGTTGTTATAACCGTGTGGCTGATGCTTTGTCGCGCCATCCCGAGTATTTGACTTGCCTTGTGGGTTCATACGACCTCCGAAGGAAACTGAAGGAGGATCTGATTGAACACACCGCCAAGGATCCGAACCTCAGTCCCATCCTTGAGCAGCTCAAGGTTGACCCTAACAGTCAGCCTGATTTTCACGAATGCGAGGGTCTTGCGTTCCGCCGGTATGGAAAGTTCGATCGTTTGTGTGTACCCAACCATGCGCCTCTCCGAACTCATTTCTTGGATTTGGCGCATGGTCGGAATGGACATTTTGGCTTTGAGAAGACTTATGAAAGTCTTCTGCAGCAATTTGGTTGGCCAGGAATGAAAGGATCTGCTCAGAAATTCATTGTTGAATGTCAGGTATGCCAAAGAATCAAGGTCCACAGGCATAAGCCTTATGGCCTACTGAGACCTCTGCCCATTCCTGATGGACCCGGTGAGTCGATTTCCATCGACTTCGCGGACATGGGAAAAGTGAGTGAGGCTGGGAATTCACAAGTCATGGTCATTGTGGATCGCTTCTCTAAATTTCTGAACTTGATTCCTCTCCCTCCTCATGCCCCGACTGAACTTGTCATCGAGGAATTCCATCAGCAGTACATTCTGCAGTCCGGCGTCCCGAAAACTATTGTGAGCGATCGGGACACCAGATTCATCAGCAAAGATTGGAAAGACTTCACGTCTCAGATCTATGACATCAAACTGAACAGGACTTCTGGTCGACACCCCGAAGCCAAYGGATTGGCCGAGGAGATCAACCAGACCGTCATCCAACTGCTACGCGCACTGATTGTTCCATATCAGAACACGTGGGACAAGGAATTACACAAAGTGAAGGGGCTGTACAACAACTCCATTCACTCTGCAACTCGTGTGACTCCAAACCAGCTGCAGTATGTTTGGCCGATGCGCAATCGCCTCTCCTATCTGTTCCCTGAGCGGTCCCCTGGTCTGATGCCCGGCATGCCTGGCTATAATGCCAAGTACGCACGCTTGCTCAAAGCTGTTACTGCAGCCATGAACAAGCGCCAGCATCCCATGATCAAACATGCTAACAAGCTGCGAAAAGAAGAAAAATTCAAAGTTGGGGATTACATTTGGGTCAAAATGTCTGAGTTTTCTAACGAAGAGGGCATCTCGCGGAAGCTTCTTCCATTATGCTACGGCCCTTGGCAGATTCTGAAGGTAGTCGGGGATGATTTCGGTCCTTCATTTGTGATTGACGTGCCTCCTCATCTGCGCACGTATCCGGTCTTTCATGCGTCCAAACTGTTCCCACACATTGATGATGAGACGTTTCCCTTCCGAGATCCTATGATACCTCGCCCTATCGACGGCGGCCATGAGATAGACAAAATCGTATCTCACGAGGGCAGAGGGAGGAACAGACCGTATAAGGTTCACTTCCTCTATCACCCATTGACTGAATTCTTCTGGATCGACTGGAAAGAGCTGCTAAAAAGTGCTCCCCGTGTTGTGAACGCTTACGAAAGACAGATCACCGAGGGGCAGACCGCTAAGTTCGTAGCAACAATGACTTCTCATGGATTGACCAAGTCTCTCTTTCTAATGTACTTCTACGATGCGTTCTGTACCGACTCTGACTGAGTTACTCGCTCGAAGGGACCTCGCTCTCGAGAGGG